AAATATCGTAAAATAGCCGGATTAGTAGACATCAGTTCGATGTTTAAAGAGTATTTTGTGCAGATACCACTACTGGAGATGCCTGGTATCATCAGTATGCTTTGGTGAACTCAAGCACAGGGTTGAGGGTTGATGAAAATCTTTATGTGTCCATAATACTTGTCATTATGAGCTGCAATTACCTATAATGTAATTAGGAGGTCAGGATGGCGACGATAACGATGATTATGATATTAGAAACCATGGAGCCTCAATTTAAAACACAGAGGCTGTGTTCTTGGATATATTTCTGAGAATTTTGAGGGTTTAATGACACAAAGAAGTGTTTGTATCCTACAATTACATGTAGGGCAGTTTTTAAAGCTTTTTTTAAAAAGCTTTTACAACTTGTTTGACTAAATATCTTAAAATCTGAAGGCAAAAAATACTTTAACTGACAGTGACGAGAAAGCTGTGAAACACAATTTCCCTCATAATTTAAAGAGAACATTTTAAAAAAAATTTAAATTAATACAAAAATGTGAGTTTTGTGATCTTTGATATATTCACAACACTTCATGACCTTATATATATTTTTAAATCCTGGCTAGGGCTTTGAAAAGATGCAACATATTCCCACAACCACGGAGCTAATATTGTCATTGAAGGGATTTGAAATGATTGACATTGTCTTCATACCTTTGAAAATCTCACACTAAAAGCTCATTATCAGCAGATCATGTCAAAAATGATTGATATACTTCAAGTTTCAATGACTACTCTGTATGTGGTCTTTAATTACTTCCACAGTTTCAATTTCAGTCATTTATTAACTGCGTCCCTAATGACATATGCCTGGTAGGTATTTAGACCCTGTCTGGGCCAGTTTTGACAAATACCTGAGTGGTTTATTGGTTCTTAAGAAGACAAAAGACTCAAGGCACGAACACCAGAAGTGTTAAGGCAGATGTCTGCTCCAGGCAGCATAACTATTTTTTGTACACTCCGCTGTCACGCCTGGATACCAAGATGTACAGTAACCTATACCAACACTGCTTTGCAAACCTCTAAATCTGAGTCAGCCATGTTGATTGTTGTCAGCACTTGCCATAAGAGTCCAGAAAGATGCAATCTACACACTGCAATCAATGGTGGTTGATGTAGTTGAGGCATTCTCTAAGTTCAATATAACACTGAAAAATATCCAGCAGTGACCTGTAGCCCATAAATTCAAAAGAACTTGATGTGTAATGATTAAGATATGCACCCATCCCTTCCTCCATATCTGTATCAGTCCATTTATCTACCTGTCCATTCATTCAAACTATTTGTAAAGTCAGCCTAGCGTGAGAAACCCCAGTAAGACCAACCCAAAGGTCAGATTGTGATCTGTAGTTTACAGCTTCGTTGTTCATTCTCATCCATATACTCATGATTTTTATCACTTCCATCCTCCCTGTTGTTATCTTTAACAGTTCGCTCACTCCACCTTTGTTTTAGTAATAATAACTCAATAGTATTCTGTGTTGATGTAGTTCTTTAATCACATCAGGAGTAAATGAGTCAAGCACATTAACATCATCACTTCATCATTTCAAATAATGAGTCACGCCGATTTACAAACACCTAAACAAAGTAACCTAATATACATTTATGATGACGGCCAGTGAGAAAGGTTCATAGTTATGTCATCTCACCAACATCCACTTTCCATATTTGGTCACAAGGGCCATGCGTGCCTCAGATCTGCTCTCCACTGCCGTGTCATGACATCACCTCAGCGCAAGTGGTTTTTATGTGAGTGAACTAGAGCGTGGCAGCTGGGCTTTCCAAGAGTCCAAACAACAAAAATGACAAAAGTTCTCCAATTAGCGGAGCCCTGTAAACAAAACATGAGAAATGGGGGTGGGATCAGGTGGCCATTGCAGGGGTAAACATTGAGGTAAACATTGGTTTGAGGGGAGTGATGAGTCAAATTATGCAAGGCCTGTTCCAAGAGTCAAGTTCACTGAGGTAACTGGGTTACTTCACAGGGTAAAACCAGAAACACCCCCAAGTCTTGAACATGCAAAATCATTTTCTTTTAAGAGAACAGAGTTATTTAGATTTCTCAATAAACCTGCTTCTCAGAAGAGATCAATCAGTTATATATACGTTCTACATAATTATGAGGCAAAATATGCCTCCTCACTATGGTTTATTGTTTATTCTGAGTTAACAGATGAATCATCTTCTATTTAGGTGAAACTTCTCCCAACCGTTGCATAGACTCTTCTGTTGCACTCATTGAACCGTGGTCCGTATTGGAAGAATGCCAAATATACTGTATGAGTGTAGTTGAAGCTCAGAGGCACACTCCTGGGAAGAAGCTCCTTTAATTGGTGTGAACTCTGTGAGGCAGCGGTGGCACACACGCACTTGTCTGAAGAGTCGGGATGTTTTGGCTACTTGACTGCCACTCTTGCAGACAGTTCTCTAGGTCAGCAGCAACCAGCCTGGCTGACATGTTTGGGCACCTCAAACCTTCTCGTTCTCAGAAAACTCTTGTGGGAGGTATCAGGAAAGGTTTTGATAAATCTTAGACACGCTACTGTGTGCAAATGAAGAGTTACCAGCTAGAGGCTATGCAAGCCATGCCAGATGTGGTAATGTGGAAAGACAGGCATTGTGTTAGCGTGTCACAGTTCACTATCTCTTGCGTTTTGAGTAATTAGAAATCAAGTACCCCTTTACAGGCAATAAATCAGAGATTATTGGAACTTGCTTACATGAAACCACATAAAAGTAGGCACCTTGGAATGCTGGAATATTGTGTATAACCCCATATTACTCAATTTAACAGGGGAATTGAGATTTTATTTTTTTTTTGCCTTTGGACCTAAACAGGTGTAAAAACACTCAGTACCACTACTACTAAAGCTACAACTTTAATCCTGTAAGAGGATTGGCCTGATTATCTAAATGTCTGCACTGGGCATCATCAAATAATACTACGTGATGAAGCTGCTATATGCTGATATCTGATATTCTGAATATTTTAAGCTTGGTTAAAGTGAGGCTGAATCATCACATTAACAATCACTATGACTGTTAATTCAGCTGAAGAGAATAAAAAGCAAAACAAACCAACAACTAAACAGCTTGTTGGGACTTCCTGTCAAGTCAAGTCAAGTTGTGGCTCATCAAGTTTTAAAAAAAAAAGAAAAAAGTTGAACTGGCTCTATATAGATAATATAAAAGTGTTCATATACCTTCTATAAGAATTGATTAGAGCCAATGATCTGCCTTTGTTACAAATCTCTGTTTCCTGCAGCAGCAGTAGATGTGCTTGTGTTGTAATGTGTTTGTCAGTTTGTACAGGTATTTGGCAGGTTCATTTAATTCACAACATATCAAATTGTGGGTTAGTATGGCAAGTCTTTACTTAAAAATATTAACCCAGCTTTTATGTTGTGGTTTTGGCATGCCTGTAGCTCAGTGGGGTCACAGGGGAGTCAAGTCTAAGTTACAAAACTAGCAGATGAGGTTACTTAGCTTGCGGCAGCCTGCTTCAACAGGAGAGAAGAGTGAAGTCCTCTGCAGTGGTATGTAACACTGCATGCCTGCCATTTCCTGAGCTTGGTGCCTTTGTTTTGAATTGAGATGGGATGATTTCTTGCAAAAAGTAAAGGTGCAATTTGAGAGTTTTTTTGTATGGTTCTTATAAAGAAATATTAAATAAAGAAGATTAGGTTTAAACTTGAGATTCAGTCACATTTTGGGACTTTAGTTGTATCGAAGTATAAGACAGGCCCTTAAAAACAGAGGGGTTGAGTAAGGACCCCTTCCTTTGAATTTTGCAGTGCTCAGTCCGTAAGAAGGAACTACAGGGAAGGAATATTTCAGAATTTGGGAAATGTGCTTATTTGTTTTCTTGCCAAGCGTGACATGAAAAGACTGATACCACTCTCATAAGCTGCTAGCTGGTTATCTTAGCTTAGCACAAACACTGGAAACTAGGGGGGGAACAGCTAGCCTGGCTCTGTCCAAGGTGAAATAAGCATCCTTATAGCTCAAAAAAAGTGTAAAAATTACAAGTTCTGGCTACTTCCTTGACTTCCTTGACTTCATAAACTTCCTGGAGTCTTGTTGTCACACCTTCTAGTATCATAAATCAATAAAATGCAATACAAAATTCACTATTTTATGTGATTTTATTATTATTATTATTAACATGTATTTTCAGCTATGTTTCATCATATTACAGTACACAGTTTAGTAACCACATCCTCAGTAAGATCACATATGATGAAGATGATACTGATCACCGTTGAGGAATTGTTGGTTGATTCATATCACACTAAGAGAACCGTTAGTTTACTTTATGCATATTTCCATGACTTTCTCCCAGACTTTCACAATATAAGACTAAGAAATGGACGTACTCCTCAGGGATGACGTTTCACTGATGGTAATACCATTAAAATACCAAAGTCTCATGGATGTTTTTTTCCAGACGCAATATGCACCTCCCACCACATTGGCTTACTGACAGATGGAAGACATGTTTACACAAGTTTTTACATCCAGAGTGCTTTGGCCTCTTGAGTCTTAAGAGTTTCTGTTCTGTTTAGCTCTTTAAAGTTTTTTTTTTCATTTTGGCAAAAAAAACAACAACCTAAGTGTATATGTGTTTAAATATTGTATCACATTTGAAGATGTCACTTACGTACGAACCCTGGATTTATAAATAACTTGTACAGATCAACCTAATAAAATGCTACAAAAAAGTACATACAGTATATAATAGTTTCTATCATTACAAAATAATACATTGGAATTATTTAAAATTACATCAGCAGGTTTTGGCTTTCGTGGTGGTGGGGATTTGTGATATATTTTTATAAATAAATAAATGCTCCTCACCTTACTGTAACCCCGGCCCATATATGAGAGCACCCATATCTGGAACATCAAGGTTTTTTCACCAACTGGATGTAAAATTTCTCCTTTAGAGAACAATCCTCAAACACTAGTGAGCTAGTGGAGATGGTAGGGTTTTTCTATTTGCTGTAGCCAAAAAGAATAACTTGTCATTAATTGTCTTTCATCTCTATCCAGCTTCCTTTTTCCTCCACAGCCAAACTCTTTCTTTACTCTACATCATTTTCTTCTTCATCTTCCATACCAGGCAGCTCTTTCTCTGGCAGCAGGCCATAGCTGTTGAGGAAGGCCTCCACATCAGTGGCGAAGAACTCCTCATTTAGGTGCTGCGTGCAGGCCAGGAAGTTCCCGAGTAGTTCTCCAGCCTTGTACACCAGCAATGTAGGCAAAACCTCATCCGAGAACCGCTCTGCAGCACCGGATGCGACAGCATCAATCCTGCAGAACTTTACCGTGGGGTACTCAGTGGCCAGGCAGTCAAGGCAGTTGTTGAGCTCCTCACAACCTTTGACCCCAACATTGTAAATGTGGACAACCACCACTGTGCTGTAATGCTCCTTCTCTATGACTTCTAGGAAGGCTTCTCCACTGTCCAGGTCATGCACACCTTCAAACTTGGGCCCAAAGCTGAGTTTATCATGCATCTCCTGCATGCACCGTTTTCTGTATTTCTTTAGACATCCCTCATCTTCCTCCTTGAGCAGTTCATACTCTTGAACACTCATCTGAAAAAATTACATTAAAATAATTGTGACAATTTATATTGACTAGGAATCGAATTATTTGCCATTTAGTTTAATGGTTAGATACATTCATTCGTTCATTAAGGCAAGATTTTTTTAAAACAACTCCAAGAAACTTTCACCAGACTTCCTTCTCAATCAAAAGCAATTGCTGCCTTTCAAAGTAAAAGTTTGCCATCTTTGCTGTGGTCTGTTTGGTTTTACCTTGCGGTTAAGGTTTCCTCTGGAGTCATCCTTTGGCTTGCCCGGGGATGACATTTGTCTCAGCAGTTCCCTTTTTGCAGGAGGCAGGTTTTCCTGGTCCATACTTTCCAACTTAAATCTCCTCCAGTCATTGATGACTCCTTTTGGACCTATGGACAAAGCAAATAGCATTTTGTATTCAATTATTGAAGCTTTCAGAAAACATTTGATTTAGAAAGGTGCTATATGAATATAGTTATTATTATGATGATTATTATTATTATTATGATTGTATTATGTTATTTTGTAATTCCGCTTATGTGATTCTTATTATGGTCTTTTGTTATGTTTATGGTGTGCTTATTCTCCCTTACATGTGTTAATCTGAACAAATGACCTTGAACATATCATGCTAGCGTTGGCGGTATTTATTTATGCCTATTCTCCGTGAACTCCACGGTGTCAGTGTTTAGTGTGCAGAGCCAGTAGTTGATGGGAATTGTTCCGTGAATATTTGAACTTGAAGAAGCGTCTATATCTGAAAACTCAATGTTATCTCTCAATGGCTATGCAAATAATTACACTATTATGTGCCCATTTCAAGCGTTATGTCATTGATTGCTAAATGACCTGTAGAACTTATGATATTTTTGGGTGCTTGGTGAGACCAATTGGACCAACACGCTGGGCAGAATATTAGTTATGAAGGAGTCGCGGACGAATTGTGGGGTCTGGGGATTTAATAGTTTCCATTTAGCCCGCTAACCGCTGTATGAGAATAACCTGGACCTCTCCGCTGATTTCACCGCGACGTACGGCGGGATGGATGCCTCAGAGTGAGCGGATATTGACCGACCGCCTGTCGCTTGGTCTAAACAATGCCTATACTACGACGGTTGTCGTGTCAAGGGTATGAAAAAATGAAAGTGTCTTTGTATTACTTCGCGGCCCTAGCTAATGTTCTTAGATAGAAATCACTCCCTATGAA